AAGGAAGCAAGGAAGCAAGGAAGGAAGGCCATTTGGCCAACTATCAAAGTTAGTTTTTCTCGTACTCTGATTGGGCGAGAGGGTATCACGTGAAAGTGAACAAGTTTCGCTGTTTCCCTGTCAACGGCTTTCAGCGGGCAACAATATGTTGTTGACCGGTAATAACAATACCGGAATTGATTTCCCCAGAAATTTACGTTTTTCTACGTTTTTCGAAAGCAAATAATCAAATAACTACTTTTTTTCTTTGACACTTGGTATATAACAAAACACTTATTGATTTGAACCTCGGGAAAGCAGTGTGTTTTTATCATCATAAACATCATCATCATTATTATTATTATTATCATTATTATCATTATCAAAAAAAATTTTTTTTACTATCATTAATATCATTATTATTATCATTATTATCATTATTATTATCATTATTATCATATATCATATATCATATATCATATTACATTGTTATATGGCAAACAGAAGTGAAGTACTAAGCAAAGCAACATACAAACTTTAATTCTATTTTCGTCCATGTAATTGACATGAGCAGAAATGAATTGGAATGGAAGGCTTTTCTTTCTGCAGCTGGGTAAAGTGTCTTAAGGTCACAATGGGCGTGGATGAGTAGACAAATAAGATGCCTTGTTGACTTAAGAACCACGAGAATCGTGCGACCTAAATAAACTACAGCCCCTATGAGTAGATATAATCATCACCAAATGACAGTTATTACGGCCAAATGGTTTAACTGTTTACAAAGGATAGGTTGAAAAATGAGGTGAAAAACAAGATGGCGATGCCAATATAGGATGGATTAAAGACTAGATACCGCGGCTTCAAATATATACCGTTTTTCGAGCCATTTTCAAACAAATCTATCTCTTGCTTACGTAAGTTTACTTATCAGAATTTTCAAACTAGTCATTTTAAACCTATTGTTTTCTTACTCTATAAAGTCCGTCGGTGTGAGATATACGTGTCTTGAAGTCTTCTACCCGTGAAAAGCGCAAATTATGATTTCCAGTGAGAATCATCCAAATCAATCTCAGTTGGATTTTGTTGTTGTTGTTTTTTGCCTTTTTTACTTTTCATAAATTATCGAAAAACTTTTTTACGACTAAATAATAATATAATAACATGGTGATAAAAACTCCCGAAAAGTTTAAGAGGAAAGAAAAATATATATTAATGGTTTTAATGTATATAATTTTGAGAACTGTTTTTTAAAGCGGTGATTAGTCAAATTTCTGAGCCTTTAGAAATCATTAGTCGATAAGAATCGATGAAAAATTAAAAGACACAAGCACAGATACTAGAGTAACTAAAAGGGAGGTTTCAACCCCAAATTATGATACGTCAATTATGCTATGTATCTTTGGTGAAATGATTGTCGAGTAGGTGGTCTGATAACTGCGTGCATTAAACCTCTTGAATGACACAATACGTTACTGGGCAGAAGACTGAATCTTCCATTCATTAATTCATTCATTCTTTATTCAACGTCACTCTAATCTTATGCCTCGTCTTAAGATGCACCGTAAGAAGTGATAACAAACCAAAGTCAACATTTTTTTATTAAGTAAAGTCCTCGAGTGAGGCAGTTATCGACGGAAATGGCTGTACCGGTGGGAGTGCATAAAAAACGTGCCCTCGGGGTAGACGGCTTGTATGTACTTGATTGAGCTACTTGAGGCTTATTATATTGTTGTAAATGTCTATATGGACTTGATGGTTACACTTTGCATTGTTACTTGGTGTCATTAGCACACCAATACGGATTCAAAAAAGCCATTTGAATGCTTATGATGCATATGTATTTGAAAGAGCCATTGCGGTACAAGCCGTAGGCCATTCAGGAAGCCATAAAAGTGCTTGGGCTTCAGTTGCGGTAGGAAAGCTGTTTTTCACTTCAGTGTTATTTATTAGGAAGCTTGTTAAGTTTTCATGCTTTTGAAGATCAATTAATCAGTTCATTCTTTACGCAAAGTAAACCTTTCCGATGCCGAAGCTTAACTACGTAAAAAAAGCCATTTTAATGCCTTTTTATTCGGATAGCCATCTCTATGGTTTCTAAGGCAGAAAGTTATTTCGATGCTTTCTTCGGTAAAAAGCCATTTCAATGCTTTCTTCGGTAAAAAGCCATTTCAATGCTTTCTTCGGTAAAAAGCCATTTCAATGCTTTNATGCTTTCTTCGGTAAAAAGCCATTTCAATGCTTTCTTCGGTAAAAAGCCATTTCAATGCTTTCTTCGGTAAAAAGCCATTTCAATGCTTTGGTCAAAAATCTATTTGAATGTTTCCCACGGCAACGACCATTAAAATGCTGCTCTTCAATTCGCCAATTATGATGAATGAATGAATGAATGAATGAATGAATACACGAAAATGCTTACCATGCACACATGCAATGTGGTCTCTTTTCAATCAACATAATGCATTCTATTGACAAAGCCAATAATACAATCCCACAAATGCGTGTTGCAATAGCGCTATTCTCTAGCACAATGCTGTCCCTTCTGTTCAAATGCAATGAACAAACCAAAAAAATTGATAATCAAACGACTGTTTAACGAAATCAAACAGTAACGTCTGTCATATGAAGACGCGAAGCGTACACTTTTATTTCGACCTTAAAATCTTTTGGCACAAAATAAAAGTTTCAAATTTTTTTGAACTGCTTTTTTTTAATGGCTTTGTGTCTTGGTACAAATACACCAACACATTTAAATGGCTTTCGACTTTTTAAGCATTGACATGGCTTTGGGATAGCATTAGGCCGTAAATCAAAATGATTTTTAAGACTTTTTCTGCCTCTAGCACTGAAATGCCGGGCTCTACCTCTGCTAGCACTTTATTTGGTTTTCGCAATCTCAGTAATGACTGTGATTGCACAAAAAGTAATTGAAAGTCGGCAATTATATTTCGCGCACATGGTAATAAATCACTTTTTACTTTTGTAAAAAGAACTATTTATCACCAGCCTCTCAGTTTAGAAATATTTTGCATTCTTTTTTGAATAAAAATTATTTTAAAAATATTAATTAAATTGAATAGCACAGATGGGCTTCTTTAAATTTCTTTGATTTTTTTTTAGCGCACTCAAATGGCTTTTCAAAATTTCAAGTATTTAAAAGCCCTTCATTTTGAACATTCAAAGGGTTTTTCAAGCATTCAAATGGTTTTGCAGCGTACAAGCATTTGGATGGTTTTTAAAGACCACTAGAAACGGCCGTTTAATGGACTTCTTATAGGTTAGCCCTAAAATGCCTACTTCAAAATGAAAGCATTCAAATGGATGTGCTTTTTTTAAATCTTTCTCAAAAAATTTTCTCGTTAATTAAATTATTTTTTCTGAACTGGAATTCGTTGAGAATAGAGAGGCAGTTTTGTATTTGTGAAAGTAGGATTTCAATCCAATTTTTTTAAACCAAAAAGAATGCACTATTTCAAGTGTCACAATTAAGTTCCCCTGAGTAAATAACCTGTTCATGAGTTTCATTATTAGGGGTTAATACTCTGATTAAATCATCTGATTACTACTGAATCACTTAATGCACTAATCCTCTTATATCTCGTCATTTAAGAGATAACTCCCTGAAACCCGCATTTCAGACAAAATCTCAATAACCTTAAGCATTAAATGATTCATGTAATAAAAACTAGTACTATCTAATGCTGAAATTTTTACTGCGCTTGCGAGTTAAAGACGCTGGTAATGGTTCCATTCACAAGGTCGGGATCTTTGGCTTTAAAGTTTAAAAGCAGGGCTGGATGTTTAGATTGACCCTGGCGGGTATTCTGTTATCTTCAGTTTTCACTGAACCACGGTCCGGCTAAACACTGACGCGTGCAGTGGAATAAGCGGACCAGTGAATTACTGGTAGAAACCCTTGAAATTTTCCCGGGAAAATTGATCCGATTAGAAGTAGAACTATATATATATCGATGCAAGCGCTGCAGGAAATATCGAGTTGGTATTAAAGTTAGTATTAAGTTTACACTAAGATGTAGATATAATTCTGTCACATCCTCAGTCATGAAATCTAGAAATCTTGCTATCCCTCGCACGTGTTTTAATTTGCAAGAAAAAATTAACTGGAATCTTGCGCATCGAACTTATATTCTATAATAACATATTCTAGAACGTATATCATCTATTAAAACATCGAGCTCTCTAGAAAGGTGCGAAAAGAAACATTCAATTATTCAAAAAAGATTTAGTTTTGAAATAGTGGTGTATATGTATATATATGTGTGTTGATAAAAAATCGTTTAAGGATCTCTGGTTACAGCTTTGATTTTAAACAGGTAGATCAGCAGATAAACAACAAAAAATTAAAAATAGTCTTCAAAACAATAATGAAATGAACAAATTACATAGTTAAAACGCAATGAAAAAAATAAACATACGTAGATTTGATCTTGATTAGATGGAAGTGAAAGTATTGCGGATCCGATTACTATTTTGATAATGTTTTAAGTTGAGTTCATCTAATTAAGTCCACTCTTCGCAGCTGTGTGAGACGTTTTACTCGAAGGGTACTTTAAAAACACGCCAAGATTATTGATTTTGTGAGAAAAAAGAGCAAAGAAATTAGAAAGTTATTTTTTCTTAATTTGGGACAAGGCTCGAAGTTAGTACGTGTTTTCAGATTATCTTAACAAATCTATTGTCACTTTGAGTAAATTATTTCACATTGATGCTGGATCTAAAGGAAACCACCTGTAGAGTATGTAAAAAAAACTCGCTAATTAGCCCCGAATGGAATACTAGTGGACTTGGGAGATTTGAAATGCAGTGTTTTGCTTTTTCGAGTACGGTTTACGGGGCTGCTCACTTGGCCGTAATCTGTCTAAATCGCTGTACAATTGTCACTATTGTTTAGTTTGCCCTGACAGAATCTCATAATATGTTTCTATGACAAAAGACTATTAGCTCTCGGACTTAGATGTGTCGGAACTCCAACGGCAAACAAAGAAACACGTGCAGCCGTGCTCTCTCAATTGCTTCAAAAGCATTTGAAAAAGTTCATTGCAAGAAAAAGCCATTTGAAAGCACCTTCAGTTCAAGAAAAGCCATTTCAATGCTCATCCCAAGAAAAAGCCATTTCAATGTTTATTCCTAGAGAAAGGCGTTTCAATGTTCATTCCAAAAAAGCCATTTGATAGTTCATTCCAAGAAAAGGCCATTTCAGTATTCATTGAAAACAGTTTCTGTTAGTTTATTAAATCTGGTACCAGAAATGAACAAGAGAAAAACCCTAAACTTTAACCAGTTTTTCCCGGGTTAAGTACAATTTAACTAGTTGAAAATCTAAACAGATTACAGTTTGATTTTCGCGTCTACAGGAAGGCGAGAGCTAACGGAGCCGCAATCCTACGGGCAGAGAAAAGGTACATCCCTAAAGTTTTTGTGTCAACGTCCATCTGTTGGCTTGAGATACATTCCTAAACAAAGGAAGTGGCCCTTGACAACCGCGTGCCAGGATCAGATATGTAAAAAGCGTGATACAATCATTGTTCGTCTGAACGGGGTTTTTGTGAAGCCCCAATGATGATTCGATGCGCTTGAATGGCTTACCAAGTCACGTGGGTAACCAGTCAAGCCTTGCAAGTTACCTGTAGAAAGTGAGAGTTTTGATGAAGTCGAGGTGGACACTCTGTATTCACAATGTTTATCACCAGTAAATCTGATTCTTTACCAACATATACAACCAGGTTCAAGTCCCTGCATCCATGCCTTCAGCCCTTTCCTATCATTCATCAAGGGACCGGCCCGCCATCGAAAGAGCAACTATCAAAAACAATATCATCCAAATCCCTCGGATTGTCACCAAGTTTGATTGGATATTCTCGAGGACAAAGGACCTAACAAAAGATTCCCTCTTCCTCGTGGTAAACCGCAAATGTCAAGTCCCGGGGTTCGGACACAAAAAGACAGTCAGATTCCCTTCTTCAAAAGATTCCTTGACCGATGCTGATTAGATTCCGTAACACGGTCCCCTAAGAAACCTTGCAATAAAATAACCCTTAAGACCGGACCCCAAGGAAACCCCTATTTTCAGACCAATTTACAGGCGTCAAAATCCTTTTAGATTGCTATTATTTGAAGACTAATTACAACATGAGTATTTAATAATGCATTATCCAGCTGAATATTGATCGGGTTTCGCGCTCGAGTTATCGCATTATTTCAGTTAAACAAGCCAGTTAAAAAGGCAGCTAGATTTCGACGTCTTGCACGTGTCAAAGGACAGCCGCATAGACGTCATGCCAGGGTAGCAGCTGATTGGTCGTTAGCTTTGCACGTGTCAACTAACTAACTACACCTGTCATTTCATCTACAGGTGAATATCAATTTATTTGTCGCCAGTGTACGCAAGTGTTTACGTTTCCTAATACTCTAAAAGCACACATAATCTTCCAGTGCGCAGGACGAGGAAGACAAGTGAAGGCATATAAAGACACTCAGTGCCACACTGACAATCCATCATTACACAACTGCGACAGTAGACGGACGACAGTCAAGCTGGAAGCCGGACTTGAGGATATGAGCACTCTTTATCTCAGCCCTAATTCTGAAACAGATGTTCTACAAGTATCTAAAGCAGTAAGCGATACAATGGGAATCAAGCCTGAGTCTGAGATTTCGCGGACAAGCCACGGTCATAGCAGTAATTTTATGTCTATCTCTGAAACACCACACATAACATTACTGTCAGAGCAAGAGTCCAAACAAGCGTTCAACCCTAACGGAAGTATGAGTTTTGGCAACTCAATTAACAGTTATAACAGCATGAATGGTTTCAGTAACTTCAACAACTTTTCACTGGCCATGAACCAGTTTCCATTTCTCTCCGGTTTTAACAATGATCAGTTCACCCTGAAGGAATCTCCCAGAGGAATTCACGAAACGGGCAGCGAGGGGAACTCAACGCCAAAGTCTTCGCCTCCATTCTCCATGGCTTCTGGTTCAGAGTCGCATAATCTAGTCAAGTCCCCAGATAGGCTTCAGGGACCGGTTCTCACGCCTCTTACGCCCGTCAGTCTACCATCGTTTAACTCGGACACATTCGGAATGAAGGAAACGATGAAGAACAGCCCTCTTATTCCACCTGCGAATCAACAGTTTAATACAAGCTTCAATGGGTTTAAAAGCCCAGATCTTGGAACAGTTCCAACATCTGATTTCCCTCCTATATCACGACCTCTATTAAATGATCTAAGTGGAATGCGATACAGTCTTTCACAAGATTCCTTCAGTCAACACCAAATGGACGTTCTATCGAATCCAGCGTTTCTGCTCCAACCAAGGCCACCACCTCTATGTAGTCCCTCTGGAATGCCGTATTTTAAGTACGGATTTCCTCAAGGGTTTTCGGCCATGAACGGGCAGCCACCGGTTGGCCTTCCTAGTCCAATGATGTTCAATGGCGCCGAACAAAACATGAATCGACTGCCCACACCAACAAGCACTCAGCCGCAAGATTCCGGAACAAGCATGAGCGGAAGCCCGAGTCTGATACAAGAGAAAAACAAAGCAGGCTGCAGCGAAGATATGATTAACGATCTTAATTCCAAGAAAGTCAATAAAGGCTACCTCTGTGAACTGTGCGGTAAACTGTACACTAGAAAATACGGCCTCAAAATTCATATGAGAATCCACACGGGGTACAAGCCCTTAAAATGCAAGTACTGCCAAAAAAGATTCGGGGACCCAAGCAACATGGCTAAACACATACGCCTCCATGCAGTCGGGGACACCCCTTATAAATGTCAGTACTGCGGGAAAGTATTAGTTAGGAGAAGAGATTTGGACCGACATATTAAATCGCGGCATCCCAACGGACGATAGAATAGAAAGTATATCCTAATCCTTTGGTCATATATTTAGGATAAATTAATTTTATGAACATATTAAATTAACTTCTATGAAGACATCGTTTATATATTGAAGCCGAGCGCTTCAAGTTCCTTAAAGAAAGACGTTTTTCATGCATTCAATCGTTTCATAGATCAGAAAAACCTTTATATAATAGAAGACAGTAAGTTTGTACATAAAGAAAAAAAAAGGATAAAAAAAGAAAAGAGATTGAAAAATTACGTGGCCAAGGTTACCTTATTATAAAATTAAGAGAAAAAAGAAGCATAACTTTGTAGATACAAGTTATGAAGTCAAATAAAATACATTTGAAAAGGCTTTAAAAATGGTTTAATGTCTGTAGAGCGCAAGCGAATTATTAATTTATAAGATATGCGAGAGTTGTTTTCGCCTAAAACTCATTCAAAACACCAGTTTGGTAATTAATCGGCTCATCCACCGTTCTTTTCCCGTGGAATTTTGCAAAAACTTCGATTTCCTGAACAATTTGAAAGGTTTTTCTTCTCTACGCGCGTAAGAAAAGAGTTTTCGATTTTGCCATCTAAGGGTGAGTAATCGACTTAGAACATTTAGGTGTGATTACGTAGTAGAAATATTTGTCCTTTTCTGTGTTCCACTATTGTTTAGCTACTCTAAGCGACTTTCACGAAACATTTCTATATAGTTGTAACTCTATTTAAAAAAGGAGTTTTTTTGTAAAGGGATAATTCATGAGAACCATGGGATAACGATTTTGTGGTATTTTCTGCGTAGTTTTGGTTTGAAGAAAGAGAACGCGTTGTTGCCAAAATATCCCTCGCGTTCGTGTCGACTGTAAGTGAAGCGTAAAACGGCGTTAGCCATTTCGCTCGATCGAATTTAATTTACTTTTGTCTGAAAAAAACAGGATATCCTTCGAGTGTGACTTTAGGTAGAACTCTTTCTTTTGACAGAAGAAGTTAGGATATCAGTGAGCAAAATTCCTTGAATGACTTTTTCAAACGAATTTAGAATTCTTTTATTTTCGTTTTGGCCTTCGAAGTTTTTTTGGAGTTTACACAGAGCGCAACAGAGCGTCTTATATTATCATTTGACTAAGATTTTATTCCACACAAAAGAAAAACACAAAAGAGTCTGTTATTCCTTTCACTAAGCGAAGTTCTCACGCTCGGATGGTTTGTTTTGTTGTAAAACTACAGTTGACGAAGACTTACAACACGTGAGAAGCACAACTAGCGTGGCGACATACACTAATAATTTTACTATAAACTTTAGGATCTTTCTAGTCATCCTTCGTAAATATTTGGGCTACGATATGTTTAGCCTCTCTAATATTTCGAAAAAGCAAAACACCACAATTTCTGAGCCGGGAAAATGTTTTGCTCAATCTAGTTCGATGTCTTTAACAATCGAGGCGTGTTTAAGTTCAGATCATACGAAAAATATTTATTCTAGGATATCGTCAACTTTATGTAAAAAGGACAGGAATTTTGAATCCTAGGATATAAAGATATCGTTAGTCTTTTGATTGCTGTTAATTTGAAGTTGAAAACTTGATTGTCCTCAGCGAGATGATTATCAACGAGCAGATAAATATTAAGTGCGAAAAATCTTTAATAAGGTGTCTAGAATGAGATCTAATTAACAAATTAAATCTCAAAAAATAGAATTAAAAGAAAGCGAAGGTGAAATGGAAATGATTTTGCTCCAATTTTTAAAACCTTGACTTAAACATAATTACTGGATTTAGAAAGACAATTTTTGTAAAATTTGCCTGACATTTTTAGTGTTATTGTGTCATTTCAATTTTATAAAGGGATATATAACACGTTAATGATATATGTGGGGGGAAATATTTGAAGAAAGGCAAACCCAAGGCTTATGAAGATGGAAGTTTAAGGAAAAATCTTAGTACATATATATGATTTGGCTATCTAAAGATCATCTCCCACCCACGTGCTGGTCGAACGAAGGGAACGAGGCATTATTTATTTATCCAGGTACCTCAATAAAGTTCAAATCTAATAAAGTCAACAATCTATGTTCCTAGATTGGTTAGAATAGACGTGTTCTTCTCATTGTCAGGACTGATCCCATATCTAGAACTGTGTTCACAAGGAAAAGTTTTCTTAATCTTTTAAGCTTATGTGTTTTTTCCTTTCATGGTTCACCCCTATTTTTTTAAAATTATGCTTTGATCAAAAATAGATTAAAACCTTGTAAACAAAAAAATTTCTTCATATTTTCTTCCCCTCCAGCTTTTCTTACATATCTCGGTCTTTAAATGTTTTTATATGTCCAGTGCATTTGTGTCCTACTGAATATATCTGTGGATTTGAAAATCAGGTTTTCAGAATTCAGAAAAGTTTCCTTGCAAAGCATAGCCAAAAATTCTTTTGACATTGTTGTTTTTTTGTTGTTGTTTTTTTTTGCTTTTGAATTTAAAAAAAAAAAGTTTTATTGTTGTTGTTGTTGTCAAAAATATTGGAAAGATGTTTTTTGTGCTAATTTTTGGAAAACAAAGTGGGGCGAAGTAGTAACGAACAATGCAGTTTAAATGGCAGCTGAAGAAACGGATGACTCTATAACTACATTTTACTAGCTAATCATTTCTTTTCTAAGTTTTTAAGAACACGTCTGTTTGATGCTATTTTCGTATTAAAGACCTTTGTTTCTTTAACCAAAATTTCACCGAGCTTTCGAACGAATGACCCCTCTTTACATGGTTCCTCATTGAGGCTCCATCAGGCAGTCTATGTTTGGCTCTTGTAATTGGGTCAGCCCGGCGACGTCTAATTTTAACGATTCATTTAGTAAGATTAGCCAAACTATCTTGATAACAGTTTTCGAATTCCTTATGGTTTGGTGTAAGAAAGAGGTAAACCTAAGCAGATACGTCGGCTACATTCCGCCCTAGCGACTGTCATTCCTAATAGGACCTCGTGGAAGAATTAGACATAACTTTAAATGCCTTTGCCAATAAGAAGCTAGAAAACTAACAAAATCTTAACCAGTTTGGCAAGGTTCCAGATCTATACTTTAGATTTTAACATGTAACGCACTGAAAGCAGTAGACTGTAGACCTACAGTGGGGAATGTACAGCACGAAAAAAACCCTCCACTGATCGACTAGAATTCTCTTATTGATATTAATAAGTTAACCTAAAGTTCAGAGCTAAGAACAGGCAGATTTAATCAAATACCTAGTGTTAAGTTAACTGTTTTGATTTTTCGTTCAATAATATATCTTAGTGAACTCAAAATTGGGATATTTCAAGAGCCTTTAGCATTGCTAAAATTGATGACATTGTCTAAAAGTTTTGATAAACTTTGATATGATTTATTTTATTTATTTATTAACAATCTTTAGATGGGCGGTCCAGTTCAAATGAGGCCGGCTCAAATAGACAACTTATCTCATTAAATCCATATTTTAAAAAGTTCAACAAAGTGATGGTTTTTTAGCAAACATTATCAGTGCGATTACACCTATATATGAATTTTATTTTCCATGGACATAAGAAGAAGATAGATGAAGAACAGTTGACTATAAGCCATTCCACAGTAGATAATCTCATTAGTTTCATATAGTCATTAATAACAGGTGAATTGAAGAATTTTGGCGCGAAAATCGAATCCACTAAGGAATGATAGTAGAACCGGCTGGTCAAGGGGTTCTGTTCCTATAGGGACTTTCTGAGTTCCTTCCTAGTAACAAATGTTTGGCGCCAATCAAGTGGACGGTAACCAAAGAATTGGATTTGCATAGAGATGTCGATATTCTAATCGAACTTAGTATTTTTTCTATCGTATTTTTCCCTTTCTTTTGATGCACGCGATGATTTACTTGAACAAGCCGTAAAAACTCCATTACATAAATGAATTCCAATGACTAATATTTTTGATACTGTTTTGAGAAATGTTACTGTCGGTTTTGGTAATTTGGCCTTTCTTCCGGGTTCACGAGCTTTTAAGACAAAAAAAACATAGGGTGGGTTTAAGTTACATGCAAGACAACGCGAGCTATAAAAACCGAAGTTCACGTAACTTTATGAGATTGATAATCAAATCAACGTTTTGACGTTACTCCTCGTAAACAATCACTTTGAATGCTTTGTACCGCCGTGTGAGGTACGAAACTTTTGTCATCGTCTTTTTGTGGAGGCGTACAACTGTCATGAAACGCCTAAAAGGTTCATCAGATACCAATTCCAAAATTCCTTAATCAAAAACCTTATGACAGAAAGCAAGCCAAGCACATGTTTTGATGTGTTGGACGATTTGTTTCCTTGCTAGGCAAAACAAAACAACTCTAACCACATTTTGAACATAACATCCGGATAAGAATAAGCGGGAACATTTCTTCTCGTTCAAGTTTGACAGTATATGAGAGACACTTTTAAAAATGTGACATGATTAGTTACTTTTAGGAAAACTTTTAAAACCTAAATGCACATTTTCTTTTCAATTTTTCATTTGATACCCTTTAACTTCCTTCATTCGGATTTGTATCTTCGACATAATAGCAATATTTTCAAAAAAGAAATTGTTCATTTTCTGAAAATGTTTTTTGAAATTCTTGCAAAAAAATGTTTTACGTCATAGATGGAAACTTAAGAAGCTTGACAATGTGACGCACAAGAAAGCTTTGCACAAAACAGAAAAACAAAATACTTAGAACAAACCACAGAACTAAAGATATACTAATCATAGTTCAAGGAGAGCATTTGGAAGCTAAAAAACCATGAATTGATTAGGAAGAAATTATACAAAAATTTGCAGTTCTTGAACTATTATATGTAGAAACGTTATCATGACTGGCTTTTAAGATATATATTTTTTCAAATCTAATTTTAAGTATCTAATTTAGATCCCAAGGGTTAAAGGTAGTGAACTTAATAAGTCCAAATATTACGAAAAACAAGTAATACTATCATGTTAATGTTACAAGAAAATAATGTTACTTTTGTTGTTAAACAATGCATTTATTTTTATCTTACCAAAACTCACCAAACAATAACAAGCTAAATGAACGCAGTTAAGACTTAGAAAAAACATTAGGTTAGGATGTCAGCCTAAGAGATTTACTAATTGAACTCGCCTGAGGAACTGAGGCGTGTATATAGAAAGCGTGGGTTGTGTGCGCTGCCAATGCTCTCAGAGTGCCCTCAACAATGCGACCCAAGTTTGATCCCCGACTCACAATTTTAGAAGTAAAGTAGCTCTTTTGTGCTTCGAAGTTTTTTGTTCGTATTTTGTTCGATTTTCTTCCCTCTGCAAAAATCAATTTATAATTTCCAATTTGATCATGAAATGAGGCTTGTTAGCCACTGGCTATTA